AAAAAAAAAAAAAAAAAATCTTTAATTCTTTTTGTTTAAACAACAAATACATAAATATGTATCTAGGTAAAGACAGTTACATTTATGTATGCTTGTAGATGGTGTGTGTCTGTATGTGTGTGAAGATACGCAGAGAAAAGCACTTCTTAGTCATTACACACTGAATAGTGGTCATCTCCAGATTGTGGAATTGCTGGGAATATTTATTTTCTTTTTTATATTTTCTGTTTGCTGAATCTTTGGCGATTAATGTGTTTTAATGATATATTCAAAAAATATTTTTTAAAATAGAAATTGCAGTGTCCTTGAAGTTACAGAGTTGTTACATTATTTAACTTCTCCCTTAAAAATCTTACATAAAAACAGGACAATAAAGATAATAAAGGTTTGTTGTTGTTGTTATTGTTAGAATGAAAAAAAACTTGAAAAAGAGAAAAAGAAGCAAACTATGGAGAAAGTCAGTGATGATTGCAACCCGAAACATAACACGGAGCATGATGAAATAGAGACTCAGAGCCAGATTAATGACAATGGCCAAAAAAGTAACAAATTTGGACTAGTGGAAAATTATAAGGAGGCATTAACACAGCAGTTGGAGAATGAAGATGACACCGATCAGCGATCATCAGAATCAGGTGATAAAGTTATGTAAAGTTATTTTCATATATATTAATAAGACTTATTTATGCTTTATTTCATTTATCATATTCATCTTCACAAAACTTTAGTACAATATTTTTTGCTTCCAAGGGCTATAACTGCCATGATTTTCTCAAGGTCTTTTATTACCTATTAGCCAATTTGCTTCTTTCATGTTTTTTCCATGATGACTTGAAATGTGATTTTTTGTAACTTATAAAGATTTCAGCAGAAGATTCAATTTTCAGTTTTGTTTTTATAAATTTTGAATACAACATAATTCTTAAGAATGCTTAAAATATATATACCCTTTTTCAGGCTTTTTTTGTCTTTTAACATTTGTTTTTTAAGCCTTATAATGCTATCAGCCAACCATGGTGGCTCATGCCTGTAATCCTAGCACTCTGGGATGAGGAGGCTGAAAAAACACTTGAGATCAGGAATTCAAGACCAGCCTGAACAAGAGTCAGACCCCCCATGTCTACCAAAAATAGAAAAAAAAATGAATCGGGCATGATAGCTGGCACCTGTAGTTCAAGCTACTTGGGAAGCTGAGGTAGGAGGATCACTTGAGCCTAGGAATTTGAGGTTGCAATGAGCTATGATGACACTCCTGCACCATCGCTTGGGCAACAGAATAAGACCCTGTGTCCAAAAAAAAAAAAAAAAACAAAAGAGAGAGAGAAAAAAAACAAATTCAGTTCTCATAGGTTTCCTAATGTGATTTTGGTTATTTATAAACTTGTATTGGGAACACCTTGTTTGAGGATTATTTTTATGAATAATCTGTTTAAATGTAATTAGAGTCTTTTTTTCACATTTTAAAGGATTATTTGGGGACTATTTATATCCAAAATTATTCTACATATTCCACTGAGAGAAATCAACACCGCTTCTCTTTCCCCAGGCCAGTTTTAAGGAAAGAAACTCCTGCAATTAGACAATTATATTTGTTTCATATGATATTGGAGAGAGAAATATAAGTTGCTTTTGGACAAGTGAAATTGTGTTATATTCTGAAAAAATTATCTTAGAACTTGAAACATAGACTTTTGGGTGTTTATTTAATATTCATTAATCACTTAGTCAATAAGTTATCTCTTAAAGTTATTCTTATGAAATGCAAGTTCACATTTGGTTATTGGTAACAATTTCTAAAGTTGAATAGATGTTTTTATGGCAATAATATCAATATTCTTATTTTATTCTTTGTTTGTATTATAAAAGCTCATTTCTTCCCAAAGGTGTAAAATTTCACATTTATTCTCTCATAGATAGTGGTAAAAAGAAAACTAGGAAACTAAGAATGAAAAGGAGTCACCGGGTAGAACCAGTGAATACAGATGACTCTGCTCCTAAGAGTCCAACACCACCCCCACCTGCTCTTCCAAGTAAGTAAATTGATATTGATACTGAATTTAGAAATACTGCTTTGTACAATGGACAAAAAACAAAGAAAAAGAAATTATGTAGTTTTTATTCAGTGTATTAATTTGTGATTTTATGAAAAAGAATCCTTCACTCTAATTTTTTCAAAATCTGTTCAAGTTCCACTTGAAATATCAGTACCTAGATTACTGAAAAGAATCTGTTTCATAGATGGATGGCTAATGTGAGCTTCAAAAAATTGGACCTTTCATCCTGAAAGTAATGTTTAAAACCAAGATGTATTAATATTTCTAATATATTTCCAACATACATACCTACCTCCTAAGTTGTTAAGAGGATTAAAGGGAGTAAATCATGTACAATACTGGGACATACCGGCACAATAATTTTAACTTTGTGGTACTAAGAATACTTACCTTCTACCGGTGCTCAATAAATCTCTGATGACTAGGTAAATATGTTCATAGTGTCCTTATAGCTCGGCTGCAAGTCTTTAGATTGTAACATTTTTCTTTAAGAAATTTTTAAAGTCTCATTTCTAGTACTCCATTTATTAAGAAAACATTTAGCCTCTTCTTGGGGTGAGAAGGGTATCCTAAGCTTATTTATGATGGTGGTGAAGGTGCTTATATTTTTAATTAAATGTGAATGAAAACTTAAAGCAGATGTTAGCAGCCTCTAATTACATTTTTAAATAGAACCCATTTAAGATGAGTTTATGCAGTAACCTGTCATTCATTATATTTGAACTGACATTGAGTATTATGTACACTTCCTATCAAGGGAGGGTCCTTTCAACAGACCTGAAGGAACATTCTTTAACAGTGTTCTTAAATGTTTTTCTTTTTCCTTAGTTGGCTGGGGAACCCCCAAAGTCACTAGACTTCCAAAACTTGAGCCTCTTGGTGAAACACGTCATAATGGTAATGCAAAAGGATCAGTTTTCAAATATCATGTGTACATATTACATCCACTTTTCTTTACCTCATAACTTTAACAGACTTATATTTTATTTTTGGAAGCCTTTCAAATCCACAGTCATCCTTTTTTATTATACTTCATTTTTTAAAATTTTATTTAATTTTTTTATTCTTAAGTGGACTTTTATATCTATATACTTTGATGTGTATCTCAGAATACAGAGGTAAAAGGAATCATAGCTTGTGTTTATGTATGGTGCATTTATGTAAGCAGTTGTGAAAAGGAAATGTTTTAAAACAATTTAAATATGAGACAGTTATACTCAAAAAAACTGCAGTGTCCTATACATGTTCAATGTACTCAATGATAAAGCCACATGATATTTCTCCCTCTAGTCCAGTGGTTCTCAACCTTCCTAATGCCGCGATGTATTTTCATTGTTACAAAGGAGTGGCGACCCACAGGCTGAGACCCCCTGCTCTAGTCCTAAGACACACAGGTGTTGATATTGAAATGAAATAAAGATCTACATAATTTGTAAAACCAGAGCTCAAATCAGTAAAGCAAATAAAGTTTGGCTAAAGAGGAAGAAAGTTACTAAAGTCTTTATTAAATTAAGAGAATTTTCACTAAAATTAACATAAGCAATTATCCAGCCAGTATGTGGCATTGGAGCTCCAGGAGACTAAAGACTGGAAAAAGGACAGTTAGGAATAGTAGACAGCTACTTTATAAAATAGGCAATAGTTCTTATTACAGAACTGCAGTCTAAGTTGTTTCCATAAAATATTTCCAGAATGCAAAAGAATAATTACATATAATCATACCTCTATAAACTTGTCCATTAAGAACATCCAATTACTAGGCACTGGCCTCATATTACCTGAGGTGGTGGGTTCAAACCTGACCCTGGCCAAAAAAAAAAAAAAAAAAAAAAGAACGTCCAATTCCTTTTAATTTTTTTAGTTGATACCAGGTCTCTCTCCATTGCCCGGGCTGGAGTGCTCTGGTATAATTATAGCTCACTGCAACCTCAAACTCCTGGGGGTAAGCAATCCTTCTGCCTCAGCCTCCCAAGTAGCTAGGACTACAGGCAGGTGCCACCACACCTAGCTAAATTTTTTGTTTTTTATGGAGACAGGGTCTTGCTTTTCCTCAGGTTGATCTCGTACTCTTATTCTCAAGTGATCCTCTTGCTTCCTCCTCTCCAAGTGCTAGGATTACAGGCATGAGCCACCACACCCAGCCTCCAAGTCCCTTTTTGATGGCTCTGTGTTTACCTTCTCCAGAACTTCATTTCCTAAGTGAATCACTGAATAGGAAAAAAGAAGTTTAATCATTAGAAAAGCATTACCATATAATTTGAAATTATATCAAAATCTATAAAATATTTTCATTCAAAAAGTACTTAAACATAAATAATCCTATTTGCTTTTGTTTCCAAAATTCTATAGGTCAGTAATAAAATATTTCTTTATAATCATTACTGAAAATTGTTTGGTTTTCTTTTTAACATTTCTAACAGCAGAAAAGTTTGTCCTTAGACTGTAGGAGAATTACTGAAATATTATTTCAATGGAATCACTTGTCTCTCTGGTTTACTGACTTTCTACCATGATGTTTATTTTGACTATAGCAGATTAGTTCCTGTTAATTGTCAGTGAACTTGTGTATATTAGAATATATTGTCAATTTTAATATTCTCTGTGTTGTTAGAAAAAACTAGGTAATGTTAGAGTATTTATATATACATACATACACATATATAGAAAAAGTATTAATTTTTCATATGATAGATATTTTTTCCCCTTACTGAATTTGCCATTCATCAAGCAACTATTTTGTAATTAACAGTACCTGAAACATTGGTAATAACAAGATGAGTAAGATACACATTCTGCCTTTGTAGAGATCCTAGTCAAATGAAGAAGAATCAGTAAGCAGAAGAAACAGACTATACAAAGATAGAGAGGAAGGAAAGAATATTGTTTATGTGGAGAATACCATGAAGTTGCCTGTGACTCGATCTTAGGTTCATGTGCATAGAGTGGATAAGGAAGAAAGAAATTTCTGGGAGGCCAAGGTGAGTGGATAGCTTGAGCTGAGGAGTTTGAGACTAGCCTGAGCAAGAGACCCTGTCTCTACTAAAAATAGAAAAACTAGCTGGTCGTTGTGGTAGTCACCTATAGTCCAAGCTACTTGGGTGTCTGAGGCAAGAGAATCACTTGAGCAAGAGTTTGAGGTTGTTGTGAGGTAGGCTGATGCCATGGCCCTCTACCTAGAGTGACACAATGAAACTTTCTCCAAGAAAAAAAATCAAATTATAGAGAGTATTGAAAGTAAATTTATGCCTATGGCCAGACCTTGGAGGCTTCATATTTGTAAGATGTCTAGACTTGCTATTATTTTTTAGGTAATATTATTCATTTTTAAAAGGGAAAGCTGTGTTAAATTTACTGGTTAGAAAAATAATTTTTGTCACAATGTAAAGTACAGACTTGATGATGGCTAAACGTGTAGTAAGAATCCCACTTAGGAGGCTGCTGGAGTT